TGTGTGTGTGTGTGTGTGTGTGTGTGTGTGTGTGTGTGTGTGTGTGTATGTGTGTGTGTGTGTGTATTTTCCACTCTCATATAATATCTGGGAAGATATATACATATATATCAATAAATTGAAAAAAATGATGAAAAGAACAATATATCACTAATTGTTTTGTTTCTTACCAACATTTATTCATTACAACGGGACATAATGAATTTATGTCCTGCTAAATTAAATGAATAATTTCCTTATTATAGTAATGTATAAGTTAAACAAGTTCAATTTTTTTATTTATGTAATTAATTGGAATATAAAGCAATTTTTTGTCATATTTTAAAATTTTAAATTAACGCAGAAATTATAAATTTGATATTATTGCAATTGCGAATTTAATTAAAACGAATTTATTGGCATTTGAACACCAGTCTTACAATTAACGCAAATGAAGAGAATAGGACGTTAACGCACATAATTTCCTGCAAACTTTTCGATAATGGCAAATAATGATTTTAATAATGACATTATTAAAAATATTAAAATGCATTAAAATGTGTTTCTCTATATTCATTATTTTTCTTTTTATAAAACGATATACGTATATAGAATTCTAGTTAAAACTATTCTAGTTAAAACTATTTTGAGATAAATATCGAAATATAAAAGGTATATTATTCTAAATTTCTCTTATATACCATTTCTTATTTGTAATATTTAAATAAAGGGTAATGAAGTTTTCCACTTTCATATAATATCTGGGAAGATAAGAGGATTTATTACATATATATATATATATATATATATATATATATGTATATAGTAATACAAATTGATCATCAATTTCTTTATCATCAAAGAGCTGTTCGGCCGGACACACGAAACAACTGACAAATCTTTTTACAAGTTTCGATTATTGTGTACTTATAGTACGTAAAAATATTGTTTTTTGTCCAATCTTAACAATCCATGTTCTATGATCTGTGATCATATCAGACTCTCGACGATACATCGGGAGATGGTAATTAAGCAATTTTGAATTTTAATTCTTGTTACGAGGTATGTATGCGGTCGTTATATCTTTAATAAACTTATTATTAGATTTTTATCTTATTGCGAATTATAAAGATATATAAAGATATATAACATATATGCTTACAAATCAAAACCCAACTATTAATAATCCTAAGCTATATTGTGCATATTTAATGTTGCAAATAAGTATTATTTAAAAAATACTGTATTTTACCGGAAATCGTACTGTCTTTTCTCTCGTTGCCTTTTCTCTTTTCTTTCCTTTCTTAAAAGCGGAGCAGAGTAGTATCAAAGAATAGAAATATATTTTTTTTGGCGATTTAATTAAATAAGATTAAATTGTACATTAGACGAAAAGTGTTCTATTTTATTAAGAAGGACGAAAGAAAGGAATGAGATTAAATGCGGATTCAATGGGAATAGGTCTTTTCATGTGGTACTAAAGATGAAAGAAAAAGACATTACATTTTTTAAATAAATTAAATTAATGCAACCATTCAACACAAGAATTAGAAGTTTAACCAGTAATCTTTCCGTTATTTATCTTAATAAATAAAAAATGATTTATCTCATAACATTGATTGCTTTTTAATCTTGACAATAAATTGTTCCATCATATTTACGTTCTATATCACAACGTAATCGACTAAAGTTCAATTCCGTCGTTTGGGGACACTGTATTTAATTCTGAACCAGAAAGAAATTAAACAAACAAAATTTAATTAAGTAGAAATGATAGATGAAATGTGTGCGTACGAGACCCACGGATTTTTTCCGCAATTTAAAATTACATTTCTAATTACATTTCGATAAAAATAAATAATCTGAAGACATCTTAGTTTTTCAAATCGGTTTTTGTCTGTTCTGTATAAGCATCTTTAGACATTTGCATTAAATACGAACTAGCTTTTAGAGAATCAGATAAGTCGCAATAAGAATTTCGTAAATTTTTTTTTGTTTAGGAAATACAAATATATCAATTAAAAATAATTTTACATCAATTTCTTTCATTTCTGTAGTTTTTTACAAATATCATAACAAAAACAATCATTCGTGATTATTGATGTATTGATGCCTATACCATGTAATAATTACATATATGTGATACGTCTGCACTGCTGAAAGATTTATATTTATGCATTATGCATTATTAAACAAGTAGTAAATACTCGTTCAAAATTTGACAGTACATTGTTCTTTTACTAACTTGACGAATAATTTCTGTAAATTATGAATAGAGACTAGACGAGTTGAACTAGAATAAACAAGAGACTTTTCTAATTTTTTATCTCAAACGAGAGATATTTTCAATAAGAGAAAAACGCATCATTTTTTATGAGAACTGGATCTTGGTAGTCAAATAATATTAGGCACGAATAATATTTTGTGTATAATTCTTCGCCTTAGCAAAGGGATATCTTCTCGATACATTTATTTTAATGAAAAGTGTTCTTGTTTTAAAAACTTTATAAAATATGGGTCCAGTGCATATATCTACGAACAAATCACATAATTTCATTAATGTCTTTAGAGCAAAAAGAGAAAAAACCCGATATCGGGAGAATTTCAAACAATTTTTTGTACATATATATATATATATATATATATATATATATATATATATATAT